ATATTCTATTAAATTACTTAATTTAGTTGCTTTGTTGTATAAAGAAACAAGTGAACTAACTTAAAATGAAGTAGTGCAATATAGTTACACAAATATCAATTTAATATAAAAATGATTTTCATCTGCGATTGATATGGGATCGGTATGTATATTTTGTTTGATTTGTAATCAGTAATTTACATAATGCTAACTTCTCTATTTAATAGCCACATTCGGGTGATGTTATCATTCCTGACAAATAAAAGACTTCCACTTTGTTATGGTGAAAACGACTATGATTATCACTATTTATATATTGACAATGATACTTACTATTACGTCTGTGGGTTGGTACGAGATTGTATGGCAGATTATCTTTTTGAAAAAGATAGAATGGAAGTGTTCATAGATATAAATTAGATTAAATCATTTAAGAATAATTCATCGGTAAAGGGATTTATAGTAGAAAAGTCATGTCTCGCTAGCATTTGTAGGAATAGAATTATAGCAAATAAAATAAATTTCAAGGTTGATGGTTATCAGGTTTTTTTCCACTTTAGGAGAGATTAATTTTTCTTGGCAAGAGGAGTTTTGTATGTTTTACTTGACACGTAAATGGAACCAAAAATCAATAGACAGATTACTTGTTCTTTATAAAACAGGTACTTTGTATATTGCACCAGTTCAGATTACCTTTGATAAGAAAAATCATTCAGATTCTGAAGGAGCCTTTTTTTCTGAGATTTGGCTAGAATTGAAATTAGGGATAAATAACTTGAATGTAGAAATAATCTTCATATGGATTACACAAAAGAATGAAGCTGATGTTGAAGTAACAAGGAAGGTTATAAGAAGAACTAAAGTTTCAAAGTATAAAAAAGAGGTTGAAATTAATCCTGATTACACAACAGTAGTAGCAGGATTTGCAAACATCAATAGAGATATTTATCGATATATATCTTAGTTATAGTATTAATAATTGATGTATGATAATTGTGAAATTTTACATATTTAGTCTAAAAGACACTATAAGATTGTGTAAAAATTTTTTTATTAGGCTTCTGCGAAATGTCATATGACATTGAGCTAACTTTGACATGATATCAGGTTATAAATGTGAAGATTCTTTCCGGTATTTTATTACATGATGGTTATTTACAAAATAAATAGTTTCTATTCTAGTCTAGCATTACCATATAATTGAGAAGCATTTATGTACAGCCTAACAGATCTTTAGGAAATTTAAATATCTTGATAGGCAGACATATGTGGAATAGATAAAGCATAATTTCTCTGAAAAATCACATTCTGCGTATGCATCATCAACATTCTTTTGAAGACCGATCAGATTAATGTAAGGAAGTTATCTCATTCATGCTTATCAAACTCAAATCAAAGTCACATAATCCTGAGATATAGATGTATGATGCGAAGTAAATTCTTACACAATATAACTATCTAGCAAATGAAATAATTTAAGCTGTTCCTTCTCAAAAAGCTTTCTCTTCTTTTTTTGTGTCTATCCAACTTGCCATCACAAAGTCAATCAGGTAAACATCGCCATTATCGTTAATTAAAATGTTTTCCTCCAAATATCATTTTGAAGAATATTATATTTGTGGATCGCTTCTAATCCCTTAAGAGCTTTGACCGCTCAATGTAATACCAGCAATAGTTATGTTGATAACCTTATTCGTTAATACCTATAATAGATTAACTTTGATATACTTGTCTTGAAACTCAGTAAGATCTTTGTAAATCTTGACTTCTTTTGCATTTCTTCCAGAAAATATGGCAGGGATTCGATAAGTTAACACTCTTCAAAGCAATTGTATCACCACGATAGATAAACTAATCCTACTTCTTATCCCGCCTTAAAAATTTGATCGTGAAGAATCTTCATAATTTCAACCAAGAAATAAATTTTTTGTGCTAATATCTTTAAGAGTTTCACCTGTTCTATAGACGCATTATCAGATTCTTTTGTATTATCTATCTTCAAACCCAATTGTTGAGCATATTCTTCTGAAATGATTGAAAAATCTGTTCCAGAATTAATTAATAGATTACTTTGTACTAGATTATATTCTGTTGGTATTTTAATAATGTATTATAAAACAATATATTAATTATATCTGAAAAATAAGTCAGCATTCAAATAAAAAAATCACGTATGAGTAGTGTTAAAATATGTTTTTATCATTTTGTAATTTTTCACAATGAATAAATCGATTCTTTTATTTGATATAAAGAATGATTCCAAATTTTCGCAGAGTCACTTTCTCACAACCTTCTTACAACTTAAATCATGAGACGATTGATCCTTTTGAATCATAGCTTCCTTAACGTGAATTATATTAAAAAATACTAGGTCTGATGTGAATAAAACTTTATTATATGCTTAATGATAATCACGCTTTACAATACTACATATAAAAAAGTGCTAAACTTTAGAATTCAGATATTATGTGGCCGAAAAATCTTGCAAAGTGCCCTCTAGTTAATTTTGTCTAGTATTCTTAACCTGGGATGCAATATATTTGATATCACCATTGCTTAAATTTGAAATAAATGTTGCTAAAAACATTTTTATTCGTTGGATTAACACCACTATTGAATTTTATCATCACTAATATAGAAGAAAAGATCATAAATCTTCGATCTTTTGTAACCTCTTTTTGGAGTTGATCTTTAACTTTATAAGTCTTTCTATAGTGAGTAAGGTATTTTTCTAGCTTCTTCCTAAAGTAGTAATATGTAACAATTACTTCATGATGTGCCTTTTTATTCTGCTCTTCAGCATTAGAGATTTTAAAATACAAGTCAAGAATTTGATCTCTCTCAACTTCTTGTATAGCTTCTCTATGGAGTCTTCTCTCTTCCTTAATCTCAGAAAGTATCAGAAGATAACTCTCAGATAAATTTCTTTTAAAATATTAGAATCCTTCAATTGAATGATTCCTTTAGTTTTCTTATTAGTAGAATGAGTCTGTGGCTTTGTTAACCTATTTCTTATTGCTAACATCAGGCTAGGTTGCTAATTCTTCCTCTCTATTAACAATGATATCCATTTTACCAATTATATTGTCAACTTCAGAAAAATCATCAACAATTATCTCAACATTCTTTTCACAATCAGAAAATATACACAGTTTATAGAACATATGTTTACAGTAGTATTGCTGTCTAAAACTAAAATTCCGTAGTTTAGAATTACCGAAACTAGTTTAGTTATAATTCAAAACTAGTTTAGTTAATAGCCGAAACTACTGAAACTAGTTTTGTTTAACCGAAACTAATTTTTGGTAGTTTAGGATAGCATCCTTAGTTTACAGTTAAGTATTGTGAATGCCTAAATAAGAAGCATTAAGATCTTATTATTACAATTTGAATATGAGAACGTTTCCAGTAAAATCAAGTCATGAGGCATAGTAAATTATATGATTTTTAATGTGATTTTACTGAAAACACTCCCATATTATCCTAGCTCTGAAACTTCCATATCTTTAACTAATACATCTTTGAAAATATTATAAGCAAGATTCTTAAAGATTGTTTACTAATACAAAACATATGCAAGATACTAGAGTTTTGCAATTCGATTTGATATTTGAATATTCGATTTAAAAATACAATCAAATACAAATTTAAATTTATATTTGATTTGATTCGATCAAATTCAAATCAAGTATTTAAATTAATGTTCCGGACAAAACTAGTTTCACCTAATTTAATCTACAAAGTATTTCTAAATTAAGATTTCATATAGTTTTAGATATATGAGGCGAAACTCAAAGTTCATTTGGTGAAAAGTTTCAGATTTGATAAAATGGTTTTGTCTGAAACACTAATTTAAATATTTGATTTGATTCGAATCAATAGTAAAGCTATTTTCAAAGCTTTAAGGATACTTTTACTAAGAAATCTATAGTAAAAAATGTCTCTGCAGCTTCAGAAATACCTTTTTACTAAGAAAACTATAGCAAAAAACACTTTTGTAACTTTAAAAATACCTTTTTTACTAAGAAACTATAGCAAAAAGTGTTTCTACAGCTTTGTAAATACCTTTTTTACTAAGAAAAACATAGCAAAAAATGCCTCTGCAGCTTTGAAGACGTTATTTTACTAAGAAAATATAGTAAAAAATGCCTTTGCAACTTCAGAAACGTTATTTTAATAAGAAAATATAGTAAAAAAATGCCTCTGTAATTTCAGAGATGTTATTTTATTAAGAAAATATAAATTCAAATTGATTTAATTAAATATTTGAGTTCGATTTATTTGATTTGATTCAATTGAAAAAATCAAATCAAATTCAAATTGCTTAAATATTTGATTCAATTCGATTTTGAGAAGTCTTATAAGATACTACTATCTTATCTAGTATTTTTATAAATAAATTTTCTTCACAATTAATATTATGATCATTGCAAAATATGAAAGTTTCTTAAACAAATATAGTAATCCTAATGTTTATTAATTTGCTAATTCCAATTCTGGAATTATCCTATATTAGTATACAAATATCCAAAAATAATAGCATATAGAGATAAATCATAACTAATTATGTAATTGTAAATAGTGTTAAAATTTTTATTTGTGATACTTGATGCAAAACTTTGATCAGACTAGTTACATAGGACTGCTCAAATCAGATTCCTTCTAGATTTCATCTTCTTATTACCAGATTTTTTTTACACACTTTACTTTGTAAATCTTCTTTTCTAGTAACATATAATCTGAATTAGATGAACTAGACTTTGATGAATTTGTTCCAGAATCTGTCTTTGATCTGATATAAATGAAGACTTGTAAAATAATATAAAGTTACTTAAAATTCTATTTCTTCTTTCTGTATATTAATTTTTGTTTTACATAATCATAACCATAGAAAACCTAATATGAGATCAGCTTTTAGATCTTTAACAATCTTAAAATTATTTAAATTTGTATTATTACCAAAAACTGGTTTCTTTTCCCTTGTATTAAAAAGATAAATCTAAGCAATATATAATACCTAACAAAAATTTTTACTCTTTTAGCTAAAAACTTTTTGCATAATACTTAGTATAATTTTTTTCTAACCTATTGGCTAAGTATTGACTAATTTTATTCTTACTAGATATTATATCAATTATTGCTTTAATTGTGTGATAGATATGTTCTTCTTTTATTACTTTATAATGATTTTTTTGATTATAATCACTATTTTCCTGAAAATTCAAAATTTTACATTCTACATATATCATTTTAAGTATTGTATTTTATAAATCAATAAATATTATACTAGAAAAAAATATAATAATTAGATTACCATTTATTAAACATTTACTCTACTTTCTTTTATTAGAATAATCCATTTCGTTATTTTTTAAAGTATCAAATATTAGCTGAAATATAATCTAATTTCTGCTGATTATTGCCAAAAAATCAGCATTTTGAATAAATAGAAAATCAGTTACCAATCAATATTATATTAAAAATTGGTCAAGATTCAGCATAATCAGCTTAAAATCAGTTAAAATTTAGCTTAAAAACAGCCAAAAATTAATTAAGCAACTATTTATAAAATCAAAATTAATAAAACTTATATTTTGTTTATTTATCATTTATAATTTTATTTTATTATTACATAATAAATTACTTAAAAGAATATATATTGCATTATATTTTATTCAAAAAAAATACATTTGATTTTTTAAGATAAGAAAAAATAAAGTAAACAGTTAAAAAAACTACCAAAAAAATCAAAGGTTTATCTTAATGTATTTCTAAAGAAAGTAAAGAAAAAATAAAGAAAACAGTTAAAAAACCACTAAGATTTACTTATTATTAAAAAAATAAAGAAAAAATAAAGAAAACAGTTAAAAAATCACTAAAATATCATCTTCAATTTACTTATTCCTAAGAAAGTAAAGAAATAATAAAAAAAAAAAAAGTTAGAAAACTACCAAAATAATATCT